TCAGAAGGTCAAGAAAGGAAAGGAAAACCCCAAGTCAAGAGGTCTACTCGTCGAGTCTAGGGAGGAACTCGACGAGTAGGAGCGGATTCGTACGTCGCGGGTTAAGTGACCTACTCGACGAGTCTGTGGACCGACTCGACGAGTTGGCCAGGGTTTGGGAAACCCTAAATTCGGGACTTGGTACCCTATTTAAGGATCTTATTCCCCTTCTCTTGGTCTCATTTTCAGCCTCCAAGACCAGAACCCACAGATCTCGAAACACTAATGCTTGTGAGCCACTTTTGAGAGAGTTTTGTGTTCTTGAAGTCAAGAAGAAGAAGAAGGAACTTGAATGCTCAAGGAAAGGCTTGTGATCCAGAAGTAGCTTCCCAATCTCATCACTTTCTGGTAATCAAGTCTCTAACTTGATCATTAGTTCATTAGATCTATTATTTCCCCCTTTTATGAAGATTTTGGCCCAAGTATGGTTGCTTGTGGGATTTGGACGTCCCCAAGCAATATTCTTTCAGATCTGAGAGTATTTAGGGTAGTTAAGGCATAAAGGTGGAAGCTTTATGCCATTAGAACTCCCCATGCAAGGTTTAAGAGGTTGTATTGGCCTTTTGAGCAAAAAGGGTCATGCATGGATGTAAAGGGAGAGGCTTTGCGTGTTATTTTGACCCTAGAAGGTTAGATCTAGGTCCTAGATGCTTTCTGCCCGACTGAAATCGTGTGAATATGATTGGACTTAGAGGGACTCGGCGAGTCACTCAAAGGACTCGGCGAGTCAGGCCGTTTCCTTGCCAAAACCCTCCTGTCAGCGGGTGTGAGTTGAGTTGGAAGGGGACTTAGCCAGTTTGGGTTCATGGTGGACCTGAAGATCATCATACTCGACGAGTTCAAGGATGAACTCGGCGAGTCCAAGGCAATATCCTTAATTTATGAAGGTGGACTCGACGAGTTCAAAGGAGAACTCGGCGAGTCAGATGAAGAAGGGTCCCAACGTGTTAAAGGTGTACACGACGAGTTCAAGGAGAACTCGACGAGTAGGATCGAAGTCCAGAAGTAATATGTGGATTGCGGAACTCGACGAGTTAATGGATCAACTCGGCGAGTTGAAGTCAACTCGGAGCTTTGACTTTTACCGTTGACTTTGACTAAGTTTGACTTGGTTTGACTTTTGGGGGTATTGTGGTCTAAGTGTTATTTTGGTGTATTGATAGTTCGGGGAGCTGAAGGATCAGCAGTTCAGGAATTTGCCGGTTAGAAGTCAGAAGTCTTTCAGCCAGCCTTCATCAGTGCGAGGTGAGTCTCCTCACTGTGTGCATGGGTCTACGGCCACAATGCCGGCCCATTATGTTTATGTTTATGTATAGTAGGAAGACACTGGGGTTAGCCCTAGGCACTTGTTGTTATATGATCTGGGTTACGACCTGATGTCGGGCGAGGCCCGAGAAATGTTAGAATGCTAGAGGTCTTTGTGATTCTTGCATGGGTAGGTATGATAGGTTTCGGATCGGGGGTCCGATGTCGGGGTAAGCCCGAAGTATGTTAGATGATAGTATGTTTCCGGACCGGGAGTCCGCTGTCGGGGAAATCCCGAGGAAGGTTCTTATGTTGTATGTTAGAATATACTTGTTGTCTCTGTGATACTTGTATGTGCCTGGTAGGGAGGTGAGTATGGACGAGTTCCCATATCTCATCACTAGCTGAGTAGGATGGGGTTCCATATCTCAATATTAGCATATTAGGGGCGAGTCCCGTGATAGGAAGGGCGTGAGTGTGGGCGGGGGCCCATACCTCACTACTAGCAGGAGTATGGACGGGGTTCCACAACTTCAATAGCAGACCAGGGGCGGGGCCCAAGATAGGCGAGGCCTTAGATCAGGGTATAGTTAGAGTGTGTTATTTATGTACTAGTATGTTATTTGATTGTATGTATGTGTATAGCGGGCGAGGCCCGGAGACAGACGGGGCCTAGGAGAGACAGATCTGTATACCGAGTGGGGCTCGATGCCAGGCGGGGCCTGATGCCGGGCTGAAACATCCCAAAAATCATGACCAGAAATTTCTTTTTTTTTTAACATTACTAAACCATAGCATTAATTCGTTTCAACATACAAAAAAGGTTATATGACAAATCAGAGTATCTTTTCCAGAACACTTATTCATTTTATCAGAGTAAACATCCCAGGCTAAACTTCTTGGTGTGTGTCATGCGATCATCCCAAGCTCTTCATTCCGCTATCGGAAATACCTGAAACCAAAACTGAAAACCGTAAGCACGAAGCTTAGTGAGTTCCCTAACCTACCACATACCAAACATATCTATTGATCCAAACATGCCATAAATGATTTTTATTTATATGTTTATAATAATTAATTAAAATTAGTATATACATTGTTATGAATATCAATATACGTTCTGTATGTTTAAATATCTGATAAAATCATGATTATTTACAATGTAATATAAATTTAAATAGACTATAAAAATTGTAATAATTAATCATGAACTTGCAAACAATTATTTTTATATAAATTCAAATGCTTTGTTCATAAGTCTATCACATTGTTTTTAGACAAAATTTCACAATTGGTCCCTGTGGTTTACAGAATATCGCACTTTGAGGACTTCCTAGCAAAAAGTCACGCCACTGGTCCTTATGGTTTCAGTTCATTGCATAATTGGTCCTTGACCCCAACCCCGTCACTTTTGTACCAATAGTGTAACATCCCAAAATTCAAGGCCAAAAATTTCATTTTTAGATAAGTTATTATAAAACCAACAGTATAAGAAAACATCCATAATATCATGTCATGTCAAAACCAAAGTAGAAGTAATCAAAACATGTTATCATAAAACAATATCAAAGTGTAATCCCAAAGATCTCATGTGCGGAAAACCATAGTGTGATGCGCTGCGATCGAGCCGGCTCCTTTCCTTGAAAACGAACTACCTGAAACCAAAACTGAAAACCGTAAGCACGAAGCTTAGTGAGTTCCCCCATCATACCACATACCATACTACTAACATACTGTCAGGCATATCTGGGTGCCCGACCTACCCCTTCGGTATCTTTCAACCGGTAACCACCTAGCATATCTGGGGGGCTGCCTCCCCTTCGGTCTCTTTCAACCGGTAACCGCCTAGCATATCTGGGTGCTTGCCTTCCCTTCGGTCTCTTTCAACCGGTAACCGGGAGCTAACCTCCCCTCCGGTATCTTTCAACCGGTAATCGGGGACTATTTCACCCCTACCACTACCACATAATAACATAGCATAACATACATGAATACATTGTCAGGCATATCTGGGTGCCCGACCTACCCCTTCGGTATCTTTCAAACCGGTATCCGGGGATATTTCACCCCCTACTACTACCACATAATAACATATCATGATCATACTGCTAGGCATGCATGGGTACTATCTACCCCTTCGGTATCTTTCAACCGGTAACTAGGGGCTATATCACCCCTATCACTACTAACACATATATCATAGCATCCTAGCACATAAAGCATATCAGATAACAACACACCAGATAATTATCACAGAGACAATCATCTAACAAACAATTCCTACTAGTGGGCCGACATTGTGGCCGTAGACCCACTCTTACTGGTACTCACCTCACACTACTGAAGTCCCGTAGACACAATCCCACACTGCTGAAGTCCCGCAGACTCAACCCCAGCTGCTGGGATGACAGATTCTCGAACTGTCAACACCAAATAACACCCAAATAATAATTGGGTTCCACTACATAACCATGAGTACTACTTGGGATAACTACTACATTACCCCAAGCTTGGCTTTATGCAAGCCCCAAGGCCCAATCCATAGGCCCAAAGTCAATTAGAAATCAAAGCCCAGCATATGGCCCAATTTTCCAAATTGGGCCCAGGCCTATACATGGTCTTATTCTAAGGCCCAACATTATAGAATCATTAAGGCCCAAATATGGCCCATCTATGGCCCAATTTTCCAAATTGGGCCCAGCCCCTTACATGGGACTTACCCTAGGCCCATTAAATTATTTTAGTCCATATAATTATTCTTGGATGGCCCATTAATAATCCAATCATCAAGGCCCAATAGAAAGGCCCAACAAAAAACCCAAGTGAAGTTAGGGTTCACATATAATGCATGCCGATTAGGTTAAGTTTCCTACTTAACCCATTAAGGACTTAATCCACTAAGGACTTAATCCATTAAGTCCAATATGCATAGATTAATTCTTCAAATGATTATTATTTAATATCTCCAGTTATTAAATAATTTCCGTATGTCCCGATTAATTCCCCAAATTAGGCTTTTATTGGCATAAGGGTTTTCCAATCCAAATACTAGCCTTTATCACCTTGTTGGGCCTTGCAGTCAATTGGGGCTTTATTGGGCCTATTAGGCCCACTAGAATATCATTAAGTAAGAATTCCTTAGGGTTTGCATTGGGTCAATTTGAGTCCATTAGACCCATTAGGGTTTTCACTAAGCCCATTAGGCTTCATTGGGCCCATTAGGGTTTCTAGCACCCCCAAACGAATCAATCACAACGAGGCAAAGCACAACCGCAACCCGACACGGCGGCCGGTGGCTGCAGGAGGCGGCAGCCACCACCCTAGGGTGGTGGTTTTCTAATTTCTTTCCATTATTTCGCTTTTGAGTTACAATTACAACGAAAATCCAAAAAACAAACACAACACACACACTACGAAGCTAACATACACACACAAACACCTTGAGGTGGCCGACGGTGGTGCATAGCGGCAGCCACCACCTCACGGCTGTGGTGGTGGCTGTTTTCAGTTTTCCGACCAAATGAAATCACCCATCACACACACCCATATGCATTTCTGCTTGCAAAACGAATCCAACACCCCTGTGGTGGGCGGCGACGGCCAACACTCTAGCGGCAATCAACGACGGATTGGGGTGACAGCAAGGAAATGGCCACCATGGTGGTTCCCACCCAACGTTTTTCCGGCAACAGAAGGCATACGCACACACTAACAAAGTCGAGCAAGGGGAACACACCCAATCACAACCACCCCCACGTTGCTCACGACAGTCGGAGAGAAGCGCCATCCACAGCTGCACCCGCTGCTCATAAAGCATGGCGGCGATAGCTCGACGACAAAGAAAAGGAGATGAAGTGGCGGCATAAAACGATGGCAATAAAGCTCAGTAAAGCCCACCTTTACAAACGATGGCTCACCGTCTTCATCGACCCTCGGCGGTTCTCCGGCAGCAGCGTCGCAATGGCGACCTTCCATAGTAGTGTAGCAACCGGCGATGCTCAATGGCGAGGTGGTAGGCATCCCCGTTGATCAGAACAGCGAACAGAAGGGAGGTGGTGGCGGCTGACTTCACCCATGGCGGCTGGAGAGGTTCTCCTTAGGTTAGGGTAGGCAACGGTATATACTCCCGAGCCCCATAAGCATTATTCCCATAATGACCGAATTAGCCCTCCTTCCACCTTTTCTTTCAAAACGAATCCATAACTTACCGTTTAAACCCTCATCATTAAAATTCATTACAAATCAAGTACAATACTTACCAAACAACCCTCCGTTCTTGAATTTCTTTGCAAAGCCGGTCCAAACGTTACCCTTTAAACCCCCAATTCTCAATTATGACAATTCAGCCCTCCACCTCTTTTCCTTTCAAAATAACTCCAAATTACTTACATGCCCTTAGTCTTCAAAATCCTTTCAAGTTAAGTCCCAATAATTCACCAAGTAGTCCCTACCTTTATAAGTTTACAAAACCAATCCGGAACTTACATTTTTACACCCAACTTCTGAATTGTGCCAATTTAACTCCTCGAAGCCACACCACACCCTGCATATATAATTATTTATTTTAGGGCTACCATTCATTCATTATTTTGTTTATTTATTTAATAAATAAACCGGGTGTTACAACTCTCCCCCACTTAAATTAGATTTCGTCCTCGAAATCATTCCTTACTATTACTTATGCGCCAAACCACTCAGGTAGCATGGTCACCACCCTGGGCACACCCTAGTCTTCCCAGGATAGATGTTACCCATCTTCACAAAACCCTAACATCCGCAGATGAACGAATTCCTCACCACAAGATCACATCCACTTCGTCTGAAATCTGCTGCCTTGAGATAGTCTGATTCCTTGACAGACCACTCATACTGAATCATTATCGTTGAATCCAGTCCGTTCATCCCACAACTGACTATTCAACTTCTATCACATCGTGGTTCCCATATAAAACAGTTTACAGACCCAGTTCCCTGCAGATCACTTATACTTGGCAAAGGCTCACCTGATCCCGCTGTGAGTGACTTGTCACTTCCCAGATCAACCAACTATTCTGTCCGTACTTGCAACCTGAAACCCAAATGCTAATACTGCCCAAACACTGAAACTGCCCGAACACTGAACTGCCTGAAGCAGTATACGCTGCTACATAGCTGCTTACCAAAAGCTACCGAGACCTCCTGGGTCTCAATTCGCTTGCCAATCCTCTGAAATACTAGGTTTACACCCGACTGCAGAGCCAAAGGACTCCATACTTAGTCGCCTCACACGACTTCTGAACGAAATCCTTCTCTAGAACTAGTTGCCACTAGTTATCATGCCACTGTGACTCTACTATTTTCTGATATAACCGATCGGGTCCATGCGTCGAATCCCGTCATCATCAAATCTAAGGCTGGAAGTGGTTGCTACCTGACCAATGTCACACGCAATCTTATACAGTCCATTGCTTTCCTGATCCCATAACTGTAGTGGCGCTCCTACAGTCCTATCACTGGCTCAACCAGATATAATCCATCTGGGTAATCCCGAAATCCAATCCGTGGATTTCCTATCCTTACTGCTCTACACACAACACAACGAACTGGTGGGTACTACTCTGTTCCTTCTGCGTCCTAACAACGCGCTCACACTATCTACTAACCTAGTGAATGCTGCGGCTACACCCGCAGTCTCACAACACTCTATCACTATCTGACCGCTAGTGAATGTTACGGCTACACCCGCAGTCTTACAACACTTCCCATGCTAACTGGCCACTAGTGAATGCTACGGCTACCCCCGTAGTCTTACAACACTTTCCATACTATCTGACTGCTAGTGAATGCTACGGCTACCCCCGTAGTCTTACAACACTTCCCATACTATCTGATCGCTAGTGAATGCTACAGCTACCCCCGTAGTCTTACAACACTTTCCATACTATCTAATCGCTAGTGAATGCTACGGCTACCCCCGTAGTCTTACAACACTTTCCATACCGGTCGAACACGCACTCGACCTAACACACAACTGAGCTTGATTCCTAAACGGAACTCTAACCTGGTTCCCGAAACATGCTATCACGTAACCCCACTATATCAGTACCGTACCCATGCCCGTGATCAAAGCGTCACAGTAAACCACGAAATCATCTACACCCTCTTGCAGGGTGAGAATCGGTGCCTCGCACAACCGCTGTCTGAGAGTCTCTAAGGCTGCCTGCTGCTCAGGCTCCCAGCGAAAGGCCACCGATTTCTTGGTCAGTCGGGTCAAAGGAACCGCAATCTCGGAGAAGTCCCATGTAAATCTCCGGTAGTAACCTGCTAGACCCAGGAAACTCCGAATCTCAGATGGAGACCTCGGAATCTCCCACTTCATCACGGCCTCTATCTTGGCCGGATCAATTAGAATACCCTTCTGGTTGACAAGGTGCCCAAGAAATTGCACCCCGCACCCCGCAACAGAACTCACATTGGGAGAACTTTATAAAAGTCTCTCCCCCACTTAGATTCGACTAAGTCTTCACTGCACGCAAGAATTGAAGGATTTCCAATCCTTCTCGCTTCCTAGTATCCCTTTGATGACAACCTGTACTTACTAGTGCTAGTTATCCATCACCAATCAAACCTTAAGATCGCCCATCCTCAGAAATCTTGAAGAGTACTCTTGAAATTTGGTCCAATCTAACGCCTCAATCCATCTCCCATGCTGTCAATTGAAGGTCTCAATCTTCACTCTGTCTGACGAATCCTCGTTCTCATTTCCAATCTTGCAGTACCACTGAACTCTAACCGAACATAGCCCATGCGAAAATACAATTATCTTGAACATGCGATGACCAACCACTTATGCATCTAACACCCGCGACTGACACTACCCTTTTCATGTCACCAGCTCTGCCCTAGCAACAGTAGTGCCTTGAACTCCAAAGTTCATCCATAGATAATTACCGACCATACCTAAACAATGATAGAACCCCTGAACGCTGACTTCACTGGAGAACTATCACTCTAACCCTGGCCGAGGATCTTCCAAACAACACTCCTGCACAGATCTCGACAAAGATCCGGAATGGTAACGGTACACGCGGAACCCACTCCGCAAGATGCATCCCTCTGTAGGTTCATCAACGACTTTTCGGCATGCAGGATGGCATATATGATCCTTGATAACCCAAACACTAGCCGGAAAACCGACCCGAGATCTAACTTATCCAAACTTACTCATAACTCCAACGCGCTACGTATCCCCTGATGGGTTTTGAGCATTCTAACACTTCCTAAGTGTACATACAACCCTAATAACCTTGGATCTATGTTTGTCTAATAATCATGCAAAGTTGAATTCCAAGGTTATATTCCTATCTAGCATACATGGGGAACATTTTTAACTTGAATGAAAGATAGAATAACTTACCTTGTTGTTGATTATGATCCTTGAAACCTTGTGAGCCTAGCACCCCAAGTGTGATGCCTCAAATGCTTCACACAACACCAAATGCAAAGGAGTAAACTTTGAGAGAATCTTACACTTGCAAAATCGGCTCTAGCCCTCTTGTTTCTTATGTGTAGCCAATTTTGGTGGAGAATGGGTTTCTTATATAGTGTTGACACATCTAGGGTTACACCATGTAAACCCTAATGTGTCATGACTCTTCATTTCCATGACCCATGGGTTTGTAACTCCCATGGAGCATCCATGGAGCATCCTATGGGTGGAACCCAACTTGATAATCCATGGAGCCTCTTAGCCCACTATATAAGATATGGAAGATTTACATAATCTACCCATATATTTAATTAGTTATCTTTTGATCACTTAATTAATTCTAAATTAATTCTTGATCAAACTAATTAAATAATATTATTAATATATTAGAACTTATAATATATTAATAAACCATAAGTGTTATTTCTCTCATTTTAGTTTATCCAATTGCATGGTGCCATGCAACCCAAATGGACCATGTCGGGTCGGGTCAAGTACATACCAGAAATAGTTATGGACTTAGACACCTTATCCAACAGTCTCCCACTTGGATAAGTCTAATAACTATAACTGCAATACTTCAGGAACCGATCGGCAATCGTAGCTCTTTCAAGGTCTCTCGGAACTGAGAAGATGATGATACGCCATTTAAGATAAGTGATCATATAATCCTTGTTCTAGATATCAGCCGGACAAATACATGGAACAATGTTTACTTATTGTCCAGCAGTTTGTTTCCCGATTTCCGATTTGTTTGACAAAGAACTTAATTGAACACATCAACTTAGTTCTGACCGGGCCCGGTACATAGGTCAAAACAAAATCATCGAGGGGCCCAGATATCAGCTTCTAATCCAAGAAGGAACAGATAAACTTCGACTCATATGTTTGTTCTACCACTCATTGAATTATACACAAAAGCACGTTTTATAACATCGAGTTACCAATGCGTTAACGTACAATCAATGCATAACCAACTCATAAGTAACAAATCATATCTCTAGGTTTGAAGACTTATATGATATTACCGTCTCACGATCACTCGAGATAAATTCCATGAAGTGATTCCAGTGAGCGTGGGTTGAGTCCAATGCTCAGAACTTATGAGCACTCATGAGTGTTGTAGCCATGTCCAACAACTTAGACCTCTGCAACCAATCATGACAGTCTTGATTCATACCTACTTCCGACATATGACCGACTGTGGAGGTTCGAATAATATGATATACCAAACATAATATTCTGGAAGTCAAAACATGCAAAAGAAATATAGTAAACGATCGACAAGAGATAGCAACACTTTACTCATAAATAAAACACCTTTTATTCATCATCTAATGTCAATTACACTTTACAAATTTCAAGGTTATCTAACTACTAAATCTAATATCATCCTTCAGCCCTATGCTCCGAGCATGCTGGAGATGCTTAACCCGAGTCAGTCCCTTCGTGAGGGGATCTGCTGGATTCTCATCCGATGATACCCTCTTTGCCACGAGGAGTCCTTCTTCTATTCGATGTCTGATGAAATGGTATTTTCTGTCGATGTGTC